GTAGCCCAGGCTGGCCTCGAACTCACAGAGATCCGCCTGGCTCTGCCTCCCGAGTGCTGGGATTAAAGGCGTGCGCCACCACCGCCCGGCCAGCCAGTGCTCTTAACCACTGTACCATCTTTCCAACCCCAGATTCATGTATTTTAAACACTCAAAGCACCATCACTTTGATATTCAATCTATTCTACAGAGTCCCTGTTTCTTTTACTGGTAAATAGCATTTAGAAACCCAGATCTGGTTGCTAGGCACACTCATCACTATGGGATGTCTTGCATCTAGGCTTCCAGGGAACAAAGCTAGGAAAAAAATGTTAAGCTATTAACTTAAACCAATATCAGCAATTAAATCTAATCCCACAGTGTCTCTCCATGCGTCCTCTTTACAGACATGCGTCCCCCTCTCCACAGTGAAGTTCTGGTTCCCACTGAGCAGCAGACTCCTTCGCTGGCTTTGTGTTTTCTGTTGGTGTGTTTAATATGGCAAGTTTGCAAGGGCAGCTCATTATCGGCCCACCTCAGCCTGGCCCTGAAAGCTCTATCTGCCTCACAGGATCAGAACCGCTCTGTAGGTCAGGTATAGTGCCCCATTCTTAGGATGCAGAAACTCAGAAGTGACAGTGGCCACACCCTAATCCTAGGGAGGAAGGTCAGAAAGGACAGTTCACAGAGGTGACCGAGTCCAGCTTCCTGCCTTTCAAGTGAGGTACTTCAGAGGCTTGAGGCTGGTGTCTCAACACTGCTGCTCGGGGAAGGACGGCCAAGGCCCTTCAGACCTGTTTGCTACCTACCCAGGCCAGCAATCAGAACATGCTGGGCTATTCTTCCCCAGATGCAGCAGCCCTGGGGGGGGGGGGACCTCAGCTCCCTCTCCCACATACACCCTCACGAGGCACTCACTTGAACCACATGGGCACATGTGCATACTCAACACGTGCACATACAGAGACATACACAGGCACATACATACACAAAGGAATATACACACCACAAATGACATGGGCATACTCATATGCACACACTCATACCACACTGACACACGTACACACTCACACATGTGAACTTATTCACACAGGTATATGAGCCACAGAGACACAAAAACACACATTTACACTAGACACTCAAATATAACACACACTAGCACATACAGAGGCACATATACTTTCATACTACACACATACATGCTCACACTCACATGTGCACACATACACAAGACATTTATGTTCACATTCTCTCTATCGCGCACACACACACACACACACACACACACACACACACACACACACACCTCCAAGAAATCCACACCCTGTGGGGACCCTGTCAATTTAATGAACAACTAGGCAGAATCCAAATACTGGGTGTTAGAGAAAATTTGCTTAGAGGAATGAATGAATGAAGGAGCTACTGGACGTTGCCCGGGGTTACCAACAGGCCAGCCTCCTGTAGTGGTGCCCTGAGGAGGGGACTGTGTTCTGACTCGTACGCATTCCTCGAAGAAGCTACCTGTCTATACTATCCGCGGTGGCCCTGACAGAGATGAGGAGCTCCAGATAACAGCTTCCAGATGCCCTCATCTTCAGCGCCCAAGAGGCCACTTAGCATCGACTACTAGGACTTTACGGGATTTATTTGGCAATACCTATGATGTCAAAGCCAGCTGGTACCAGGAATCCATGAGGGTGAGCAGCTTCCTCTGGAGCCCTGGGAAGATGGCTACACAGTGCTTAATAAGGTTCAACTTGTCCTGGAGCAGCAGAGGGGTGCTCATCTGCAAGAAAGCACAGCCAGAATCACACCCCTCCCTCCCACCCAGAGCATGAAAATTGAAAGAGCCTGACTGTGGCCCTCGTAAGCAGCCTCCAAGCAGAAGCCAAGCAGGGCGATGTACAGAGGTCAGCAGTACACTCTTTCCAGCCCATACTCAGTGTCTGTGATCCTGCACATGCGTATCTGCACATGTGGGCCTTGTCCCCAGGCTGACGCTTCCAAAGCCTGGTCCCTGGTGGTCACTATGAGCCTATTCATTCCATAACCAAGAATTAGGGACTTCAGGAGCTTCAGGTACCACCAGCTGGGCTCAGCAAGCTGGGCAGAGGCAGGGACAAGACAGCTGTCTTTCTGGCAGCGAAGAGACATCTCCTTAAGGTATATAGAGCACCCATAGGCTGCTGAGGAAGCCCTGAAGGAGCCTTGGGCTATAGCCCTGGGAAAAAAAACAGCTACTTGAACCAGACTTCAATAGACCCTCTCCGTGGGCTCTGCAGAAAAGTCCTGATTGCTTCGTCCAGCCCATAGACACATTTGCCAGGCTGTGTTCAGTTCAGATGGGAGCTGAACTCAGGCTGAGCTGGGGCCCTAGATCCCACATACTGGGTACATCCTGCTGGATGTGCTGAACCCTCCCATAGCCCTGCCATGTCCTCAGAGCCGCTGTGGATTTGTGCTGGTGGGCACAATGGCTTTCAGGACTACAGCATTTGTTCCAAGGGCAGCGGTGGCTGCAACTCTGGACTGAGCAGCCCTCAGCCCAGTCCACCTTAAAGTTTCAGCAGCAGCACCGCCCCCTCCCCCCACAGGGCTTCTCTGTGTAGCCCTGGCTGTCCTGGAACTTGCTCTGTAGACCAGGCTGGCCTCAAACTCAAAGAGCCACCTGCCTCTGCCTCCCGAGTGCCTGGATTAAAGGTGTGCACCACTACGCCCAGCTAAATCTCAGGCTCTAGGTGACATGGAGCAAAGCTCCAGCACTACTGTGCCTGGCTGGGTTTCCCTACAACAGGAAGGCAGCTTGGTGGCCTCTGCACATTATGTGGAAGCCTCCCAGTCACTGCCTTAGTGGTACTACATGGCGTCCTCTTAGGCCCGGCCCTCCCAGTGCCGGATCTTGGAGGAAGCCTGGAGCTTGGTGATGAGAGATTCTTCCCAACCCCCACCAAGCCCTCTTTCTGGGGACCTGGGTTTTATCCAAGTCTGAACCTAAATGATTTGCATGAGAAAGACATTTACCTTTTCAATATCCAGCTCAGGCTGCAGCTTCAACTTCTTGCCCAGCACAATTGCCTGGCAACATGTAGAGAGTGATTACACGTGCCTGGGAGAGGGGCACCGTGCCACAGAGGGCGTCCTGTCCTATGTACTGACACTGGTCACCACAGACACAGTCAAGGGTCTTCTGATACCCAGCAATGCTGCTGGGCTGAGGCACTGGGAACCATGTGTCTTATCACAGGAAGCTCACTACGCCAACCCAGTCCCTGGGGAGGAAGAGAGGGCAGGGAGAACTCACCCATCTATCTCATTCCCCAGGGTTCTGCTCAGGGCTTGTAAGGGTCAGGCAGTTGGGGCAAGACACCCACAGTGACCTCTGCACAGCTGTGTCGTCTCTCCCAGGAGCATCCACAGGTCCAGAAGAGCAAGCAGCACAGGCAGTCCTGGGTGCATGCAGCAGAGGGACCGGGGTGCACCACATGCCTTGGAGATTTGGGGGTGTAGGTGCACATCAGCTTGCTGGGGCCAGAGTCCCTCTGTGCTCTATCTAAAGAGACTCAGCAACCCCCCCAACACACACACTCCAAGACCAGTCCCTGATGGGGAGTGGGGAGGGAGGTAAAATGTAAAGGCCTGTGGTCAGATCTGGCCCCAGGTTGTCATGGATACCTGAGATAACCAAACCCACTGCTTTGGAGGTAATGGTCCTTCACAGCCTGGGAAGCGTCTGCTGGGAGTGGGTGTAGCTGCGAGGTGATTTCCCCCAACCTGCTGTGCTGCTGAGACCTTCCCAACACTGGACAGAACACACACTGCCCTGAGTACCAGCACGTACCGTAGCCTGGGATGCTATTAATAATTTCCATATATCGTGCTCCCATTATGAGCAAAAATAACCAGCAAGAGCAGCAGCGAAGATATCTGGCACCCCACCCCCAAGGCTCAGAGGGCCCAAAATAGCGGCCTGGGAAAGGCTTAGCAGCATGTAGCCCAAGGGGTTCGGGCTGGGCTTTCCCTCTGCTCTGACCCAGTGCCTCCATGGCTGGCTATTGTCCAGGGGGCTTGGCCTCACCAGGCCCCAGGGGGCACAGGGCGTGGGATGGTCTCAGGGCAGGGGGAAGGTATGCATGGTTTGAGGAGAAATTCAGGACATGAAGATGGTCTTCAGACCTGGAGAGGCAAGGGGGGGGGGTGGGGAAGAAGGGGTCATCAGGTGACCCCTACAGCTCCACACCACCGCCTTAGTATCTTCTGGACCACAGAAACTGTAGGATCCCAAGGAAACCAAGGATGCTCAGCATCCATACACACATATTTCTATCATGACCACTCAGAGTTCCCTTAAGACCCCTTCTCTGGGCCTGACCTAACTTCATCAGGGACACGGGGAGCCAAGGACTAGGCTATTCTCTTCCGCTTGTGGGTTCAGGCTCTCTGCCAGTGATTCGGGGAGAAGGGAGGCTGGGCAGGATGGTGAGGGGCAGGGGGTGAAGGTTCTGGGGCTGCCCACAATGCCAACTGCACTGTTAATGTCCTAGCAATGTTCAGGATGATCTGTCATCCCCAAGCCCGGCCCTTAATGGGACCTAAAACCCCTGACTGGGAGGCTGGTCCCAGGGTGGGCTATGATTAGGTGTGCAGGCTCAAGCCTCATCTGTCAGGTAGACTGGGATGTGGCTGACCAGCAGCACCCAGGGGGTTTGAAGTGCCCCTTTATTCCTTCTATCTGGGGTCACTTAGAGCGGAGTATACAGCCAGGCTACAGTTTTGGGTGCCAGGCGGGATCTCTCCATGCACCTAGGCTGCCCTCTAGCGACCAGGTGGCCCTGGTGTGTGGCCAACATCCCTAGGTTTTAAGCCCCTTTATCCATCCATAGTGTATACCTGTGGGGTAGTGGGGTGTTTGGGAGGAGAGTTTTTTTTTATAGCCTACCTGGGCAGGGGCTAAGACAGGGAAGGAGATTTTCCAGTCCTATCCAGCTACTGCCAGGTACCTTGCTGACTGGGGGTGGGGGAGGCAGCAGAACCCAGAAACACCTCCTCCAGGAAGCTCCCTGGCTTTGGCCTAGCTTGAGCTTCAGGGTTCTTTGTGGCCTGTCGTTGTGGTCAGACTAGCCTAGGATGGGTGTCTGGTCATTTGTGCTGAATCTCCTCTCAGGCCATGATGGAACAAATGGTGCCCGGTCATGTGGGTGACTTGGCGGACTCAGGCCTGCAGGAAGATCACCTGCCTGTCCAGGGAAAAGGCATGGTAGAAACTGGTGAGGGCTTGATGCTGGTTCCACAGGAGGAAGAGGTCAGGACTAGGCTGGGGACAGATGGAGGCAACAGGACTCTTTTCTGACCTCTGCTGCCCAGGAGGGACACTCAGGGACACCTGCCAGACGGGTCACAGCAGCACCAGGGGAACCTCAGGCTTAGTGGCTTCCAGGAAAACAGTCAAGAAAATACAGAGGGGTCAGGATGGTAGCTTCTGGAAGCATCTCGTCTCTCCTGCTCCCCATCCCCCTGAACGGCAGGAGGGCTGGGCAGGTGCCCAGGCTGGCTGAGGCCCAGACTGCGTGGCCTAGGACCCCAGTGCCAGCCCAGCCTCCCACCTCTGTGCCGGCCCGAAGCCAAACGCTTTTTTTTTTTTTTTTTTGCAAAGCTATCTTTTTACCTTGATAAGCTGTTTTAAAAATGTAAATAAAATAACTCAGCAGACAAAAGCAGGCATTGATTCTGCCCAGAGCCAGCCGCTGCCCTCGACATGAAATATCGCAGCACATTGAGTCGTGAGTCCCTGCTAATCCGGGCAGACAGGCCTGAATGGGGCCCCTTTCGACGGGCTCGGCGGTGGGCAGTGGAGCATGCACCGCCTGCTGGGCGGCCCTGCTCCTGGACAATGGCTTTTCTTCCCAGAAGGGGCCTGTGCGGGACAAGAGCCCCCTTTGTGTAGGATGCCTGCCTTGGAGAGCGAGAGAGGCACATTCAGCAGCCCCAGACACTCTTTGAAAAGCCTGAGTGTAACAGAAGACTCCCGAAACACTAGCTTGCCTTCTGCCTCCCAGCACTCTCTCCAGGCACAGCCGCCATTCAGCCCCAAGAATGGCCTCAGGGGGCCCCCAACCCCACATTGTTCCTGGGTGTGTGGCCATCTTGGTTCCTCGGTGCCCTTCACTACTTTCGAGAGGCAGGTGTGACAGGAAATGAAGCTATGTGGGTCATGGTGCTGCTGACACATGGGCCACCTCCCAGGGCCAACCAAGGTCTCAGAGGCCCAGGTGGCTCCTGGTGCCTAACACCTAAATCACAATAGTAAGGGAGGTGACCTCCCAGGGCACTGTCCCTGAAGTGTGCTCATCTTTGAATCCCAACAGCAACAGGGTGGAAGTCAAGATGCCTGGGATGACGGCCTCCTAAAGTGACGGCCTCACTGATTACAGCAGGCGCTGCTGGGCCACATCCCACTGGAGGCACCTCTGGCGGGCCATAGCTGGGCTCTGTCCCGCTTGGGCTGCATGATGCTGCCACAGCCGTAGCAGCGACCAGAAGCCTTTCTCCATCTCCCTGTGCCTCCTGCATGCCTAGTCACCACCCGGACCTCCTGGGCCTGGGCCTTCGAATATGGAAGTTTAGGACTAGGTGTCCCTCTTGTAACCTCCTGGGCTCACACCAGAGACAGCAGAGCTCACAATGCCGAAAGCCCACAAGTGAGAACAGAGACAGAACACACTGGTTAGTCTCTGTCCTTCCGTTGTTTCTGTCTGGGCTGCCTCCGCCGTGCTCAGGCTGAGGCTATGTCCAGGACACACCAACAGATGGATTCATCAGTGGACAAAAAGTCAAAAGGGAGGAGAGTGGAGTGCCAGCCCAGGCAGGTGGCTTCGCTGCACGTCACACACGCTCATGCTGAACCCTCAGAGCATGAGGGGCTGGTAGGCATCCTCAGAAGGGCTCCTCTGGGCCAGCAATGAGCAGGGGTCTGAGTAGTACCATGGGCGAGGGGTCTACATCTTGATACCTTTTCTTAGATGAAGTAATATGAGAGGCTCCTGGGGCCCAGTCCCTGAAGCCTCCATCCTTGGCTCCGTACAGCCCTATAGCGGTGTTACAAACAGCCTCCATCTGGCTTCGGCCTGCCCTATTGAACACATGCCCCAAGAGGTAGAAGAGAGTCCCAGCCCCTTTTCCTAAAGGCCACCAGAGGTATGCAGGGTCATGCACTTCTTTGAATTTGCCCTCATGGCAGAGATGGTGGCTATGAACCAGGAAGGAGCTCCCTGTCTGTGTCCTGCAGCTGGAAGACACTGACCATTGACTTCACCAGCCTTGGGGGAACTCTGGCTGAGGACCTTGACTGCACCGCCTGCAAATGTGTCAGCGTTGAGCTGGGCGGGAATACCCAGAACCAACTGTCCGGAGGCCGTCAGGATGTGGTCCTTAGCTTGGGGAAAGGCTTGGAGCTTGGAGCAGGCCTGGGCTGATAGCTCAGGACCTCGGACCTGGGCCAGTAGGAGAAGGTGGTGGGAAGGTGAGCGGACCGAGTCCAGTCTACACAGCTCACAGGAGGCTGAGAGTCAGGCAGAGCCTTGGCCAGGTGCTCTCAGGCACGTTCACCCTGAGCAGTCGCAGTGGACTGCAGGAGTCTGGTTGGTCTGGGCAAGGGGCAATGACTCACTTTCTCACCTACACTGACTGCGGGTGTGGCCGTGTCTGCAGCTCAGGGGCCATACAAGCCTCCGGGGAGCGTATGTCCAGCAGCCTGGCCGGAGGGTCATCCAGTGCAGCGGACCCCTGCCAGGCTTCCTCCCGGAGCTGCAGAGTCACAATACCTCATTGTCACTGTGCCTCCTCCTCCGAGGCCCCTTGCAGCCTTCCCCACTTGCACAGAGGTTTTAAAAATTAATCTATTCAGAAGGTAACTGTCGCTATTCAGCCACCATCCATGCCTCCCCATGACTTTTCATGCCACTGAGATTCCATTCTGCTTCGCTGAGTCTCAAGGCCCTGGGCCCTGGTCATTGTCCACACTAATTATCCCATAAAGACGGGAGCTTGTTCTAGGCCAGACAAAGGGCTGCACTTGTCTGAGGGGCGGTGATGGCCACAGACTCATAAATCACTACGTGCCAGCCATACCTGGATCAGGAGGGTGAAAAGAAAGCACCAGAACCGGACACTACCTGTCATTGATCTAACCCCCTAACTGCAGAGTTGGGAATAGAACCAAGGGCTGAAACAAGAGTGGCGAGGTATCCCCACGGCCCCTGGCTTCCATTTGCACATAGGAACTAACAAGGGTTTAAAGCAGCTGCCGGTGTGATCCTGTGCAGTAGGGTCCATGCAGCCAGCTGGCACTGTACACACATCTTGGCTGTACCTTATCGCCATGGACACCCACTGCCAAGATTATTCTGAGCCATGACAGCTTCTGGTGGATCATTCCTCAGAACTGCAAGATATGTGGATGGAGACATAGTCACAGACACAGCACTGTCTACACCCCACCAGACACTCCAGGCAACTCCATAGGATGTAAGAGGGGGAGTTCCCAGAGTGCATGGGAACTTGTCAGACCCAGGGAGGGTGTCAATGCTTCCAAGATAGGAGCAGCAGCCATTTGTTCCTCTGAGAGCTCTGAGAGCAGCAGCAGGGACCCAAATGCTGCAGCCCAGCTCTGAGAGCAGCAGCAGAGAGCATGCTGCAGCCCAGCTCTGAGAGCAGCAGCAGGCACCTGCATGCTGTAGCCCAGCTCTGAGAGCAGCAGCAGAGAGCATGCTGCAGCCCAGCTCTGAGACCAGCAGCAGGGACCTGCATGCTGCAGCCTAGCTCTGAGACCAGCAGCAGGCACTTGCATGCTGCAGCCCAGCTCTGAGACCAGCAGCAGGCACCTGCATGCTGCAGCTCAGCTCTGAGACCAGCAGCAGGCACCTGCATGCTGCAGCCCAGCTCTGAGACCAGCAGCAGAGAGCACGCTGCAGCCCAGCTCTGAGAGCATCAGCAGGGACCTGAATGCTGCAGCCCAGCTCTGAGACCAGCAGCAGGGGCCCGCATGCTGCAGCTCAGCTCTGCCAGAGCAAGTATGGGTCCAGCTGGACCAGGAAGGTAGGAACGAGGCCACAAGGTGAGCAACAATGGCCACCTTTTTATTCATGAGAAAGAAAAGCCCAGGAAGATTTTGTTCTGGGCTGGCCTATCAGATTTGCCTTGCACCCCAACAAATTGATGCTGAACGTCCAAAGAACAAAGTCAATGCCTAGGCACTGGGAGTACGTCTGGTCAAATTCTTCTCACCTCTCAGCTACATTGAGGTTATCCTTCCCAGAAGACACGTTTTGTGGTCTTACTAATGCAGACACAAACCGTTCCTTCGGCTTTTATACCACTGTACCTTATAACTGTGCCGTAGGCTTCTAGACCACACCCTAAAGAGGATCGGAACCTCCTAGGGGACGGTGAGGCAGAACTGGCATCCAGTAACACTCAGGGCCCTGAGCTGCAGAGAGCAAGGGGTCTCCATATCCCTACAACAAGCCAAGCCATGTCCCTACCGAGAGGAGCTGTTGGCTCACGGGTAAGTCACTCAGGACACAAAGGAGGGGAACAGCTGGAGGAAGGCCACTCTAATGCCGGGACAGAAACAGCTTATGTGGTTCCTAAGACCACTGTGGAGAGGACATGCCTCCTCCCAGCTCAGATGTCTCCTTACTCTGGGTCTAATGAGACACCACATAGGCCCTGGTGACTTCCACAGGGCCCCACTGGCAGCTAAGCCTAGGCCACAAACTTGCCCCTGAGCCAATGGTTGCAGGACAGGGCTCCAGGGTGGAGAGGAATATCGAAGAGGCATCTTGAATGGTACCTGGGCCTCATGCCATTGCCTGGATTCCCAGGCTTCAGGGTCACTCATCACCTCTCTCACATTCCTGATCTCTAGTTGCCTCGTAGGACTTGGCACAGCCTGGAACTCTTGCCTGGGAAAGCATTCTTCACCTGAATTTCTGATGTCACCCACCTCCACCAAACACCTTCCCTCAGCCAAGCCTCATCTGTACACCAGCAGGATCTGGCCGCTCAAGGGCAAGAAGACCTGCTCCACCCATGTCAAGTAGGCTGTCCTAAGCTCAGAGGCCACACACTCATTACTCTGGGGAAGGTAGTCCCCAGTGCCCAGTGTGCGGACAGTGCCTTCAAAGGATACTCCAAGATCACCTGTAAGGCTCTAATGCAGCTTTAAAATCATTGTGATCTTGACAACAAAACAGACCGCAGGGAACACTTAACAAGGCTCCACATCAACACCGAGCAATGGCTGCTGAGTACCAGGAAAGAAAATCCGATGAGATAACATAAATGTGGAAGAGACTCCAAGGCTGTCTGGAGGGACTGACTCAGGACCCTCCTAAGGGTACCCAGGAGTGCAGAAGGGAAGCTTGTCTGTCTGCTTGCACTCCAGGAATCAAAGGGATCCATCTCACTAAGCATGGATTCCATCTTGGGACATGGAATACCCTTTGTACGTGGTTCTTGGAAGTCATCTCTGATAGGTTTTTATGTAACATGATAATAGGTATCTCTGCTGATGCGGTGAGCCAGATCAAGCTGAAGTGAAAAACCAAAACAACAGGTATATTTGAGCAAAGCAACTCCCGGGTGAGTCCGCCAGCCCCAGAGATGGAAGCTGGAGAAGTCACACGGCCCAACTAAGCCAGGGACCTTATATACCCTGTAGGTGAGGGAGTGATGGTGTGTCCCCACAAGCTGGGTTTGTGCTCAAGGATGGTCAAAACCTGAATGCTTTAGGTGGGGGCTTGGGCGGCTGGCAACTTCAGGGAAGGAGCTGCTGTAGCCACTAAGAATATGGAACTGGGATTTTTGGTGTCTTTTCTTTGTTGGAGACTCTCTGAGAGGGCGGGGTTTGGAGAGACAGGAACGGGGCTTTCTGATCAAGCAGGAATGAGCTGGAGGTTCCAGTTGAACAATCTCTAGTGCTAATTATTTGTAGAAGCAAAGCACAAATGCTTTTTTTTTTTTTTCTGGAGCTGAAGACCGAACCCAGGGCCTTGCACTTGCTAGGCAGGTGCTCTACCACTGAGCTAAATCCCCAACCCGCACAAATGCTCTTTAACCACTGACAAGGACATCCAGTCCTGTGCCACCAGGGGAAAATGTCAATTAAAAAACATACCAAGAAGTGAGCCACCAAAAATGATAATGTTCAGATACTAGTGGGCAACAGGGTGTAGACTGAGCATGTGCTCAGAGAGCAAATGCCTAAAATGACTAAAGAAAAGCTGGGCGGTGGTGGCACACGCCTTTAATCCCAGTACTTGGGAGGCAGAGGCAGGCTGATCTCTGAGTTCTAGGCCAACCTGGTCTACAGAGCAAGTTCCTGGACAGCCAGGGCTACACAGAGAAACCCTGTCTCTAAAAACAAAAAACAAACAAAAAAACTCCAAACCCCCTGTCCATTCTAATCTCTCTCCTGTGTCAAAACTCTGAATTAATTTCTATATCAGCGTTCAGTCAACATGTCTATAAAAAGTGTATAATGGTTTCTTTCTCCTGCATCCCAGCTGGTATTTGACACTGTTCATTGTCTTGATGATGGCCATTCGTGCTGGGGTGGGGTGAGGTAGAATCTCAGTGCAGTTCTGATTTATATTTTTCTGATGGCTAAGGATGTTGAACACTTCATGTATTTATTAGCCATTTCTATCTCTCCCTTTGAGAACTGTGTTCAATTAATTCGGTCATTTTATTGACTGGATTTTTGTTTGTTTGTTTTTTCATTTTCCCCCCAGCAGGTGTTTGGTTGCCGAAGATTATTTTTCTGTTCTTCTTTACTCTTCTTTATTTTTATTTTTACTTTTAGTCATGTGTGTATGTATGTGTGTGTCTGTGGTTTGAGTATGTGTGTAGGACCTGTGGAGACCAGAAAAAGACATTCAGTTCTTTGCATCTAGAGTTAAAGGAGGTTGTGGGCCACCTGACGTAGGTGCTGGGAACCGAACCTTGGTCCTCTGCAAGAGCAGTATGCTTTCTTAGCTCCTGAGGTATCTTTCCAACCCCTCTTTCCTCCTCCTCCTCCTCTTTCTCCTTTTCTCCCTCCTCCTCCTCTTCCTCTTCTCCTTTTTTGGAAGTGGTGGTTGAAAAAGCCAGTGGACTCTATTGCTTCTGGGGTGTAGGGCTCAGGAGCTCTTGGTCAGGCGAGTCCATTTCCTCTTCACCACTACAGGCTTCTGGCTTGGCAGGATGGCACTGGCCCTGCAGATGACTGCCATGCGCAGACCTGGGCAGTACTTGTACTTGCGGATCATTTTCTGATGCTGCTGAGGGTGGCCCGTGCAGAAGTGGCTGGTTTTCACTGACCTCATGACCGCCATGACCCCTTTGCCCTCAGCCTGGGGCTCCGCTTCCACAGTCTTCCGGTGAACCAACCCATTGTAGCAGAAGGACTTGCGGGCATTCAGATTACTGGGCTCAGTGCTGTACGTCTGAGCAGTTCCAAAGACCACCCAATGCAGATGCACGGACAGGGTGGCCGAAGACAAAGAGCCTTCACTCTTCTTGTTTCCTTTGCTGTGAGGGCTGGGTGGTAGTGGTGGCAGCAGCGGTGGCACACGCCTTTAATCCCAGCACTCAGGAGGCAGAGCTGGGTGGATCTCTGTGAGTTCAAGGCCAGCCTGGTCTACAGAGGGAGATCCAGGACAGGCTCCAAAACTACCCAGAGAAACCCTGTCTCAGAAAACAAAAAAGAGTAATCTTTTGCTGTGAGTAAGCGTTTTAATCTCATGCTATAATCCTGTTTGTCAGTTCCGGCTGTTATTTCCCGGTTGGAGTCCTTTGCAGAAAGTCTTTGCTCGTGATGAGACCTTGAATGCTTTCTTGTAGCAGTTTCAGTTTTTAGTTTCTTACATTAAACTAACCTTGTTTTGAATAAACCAATGTGATCTGCCTTATCTATCTGACCTCAGGCTACCTCCCCAGCCCCTGAAAGCTGTGCAGCCTCCCCTCCCCAAATCCTGCCTCCACAGTCCTTCCTGGCCATTTTATTCTCCACCAGCAGCCAGCATCCCGAACTGGCATGGCTGGACCCCACACACTAGAGTCTGGCCTATACATTCTGGAACAGTTCAGCTTCTGTCCTTGTCATGACCTTCTTAGTGCACTGTTAAAAGTCCCTTGGGACCCTGGCTCAGTGTCCTTGCCCAACCAGCTACTCCTGTTCTCCTCACTCCTAGACCACTAGTAGTCACCCACCCTCAAATGCTCTTTCTCACTCCATGCCTGCTATTCAAGTGACACCACTGGACACCCTCTCCAGTCTCCATGCAGCCGAACAGCGGGCCAGCTCTGTGTGACCTAAACCTTCTTCCATATGCTGCTAAGAGGCCCTGGGCCCTGAGGTTGAGTGGTTTCAGACATCCCTAGGGACCTGTTAAAATCTATGACCCTTCCTGATGCCAGAACTCAACATCCAGGGCTTGGATGTTCTTAAGCGATGACAGCACACCAGGAATCTTGTAGAGAGATGCATGATCTCAACAGCCAACACCACCGTGAACTCCAAGTTCCCAACTCGGAGGAACACAACACACCGAACCAAACCCCTGTGTTTCCAAGTCTCACTGCTTTTACCCAGTTTCTGCCCAGATTCCAGTTCCTCTTCCCCTTGACTTCCATCAGAATATCCTAACATGCCTTAACACTGACGACCCTGGTCATAACCATAAACCAATCCTCCAGTTCACTCCCATCACATTCAAAGCACTCTGACCTTCACCCCAGTGCCCTCCAACTCAGGAACAAAAGCCACAGAGGTTCTCTGTCCCCAGGCTGTTTCTTCTTATATGGCAATGTCTCCTAGGAACCCTCCAAAGTCCAATTTTCCATCTCTCTTTTATTGGGGTCCTGGAACCCCATCTACAGCAGGCTGAGTAAGGCCACAGCTGCTAGGATGCTCCCAGTTCCCTTCTCAAGGCTCTGGACCCATCCAAGGACTCTATGCTCACTTAAGCTTTGTGAGTGCTCCATGCTCCACACCTCGCAGGCCCCAACACTCTGTCTACTACAAGAAGCATCTGTGTGTCACAGGGCCTGCCTCACCTGGCTGGCATCTGTGAGACAGTCCTGTTTTCTGACAGGTGCCCCTGTTATTCCTGCTTCACCGCCACCTTCCGTTGGGAGCACATTTTGCTCTATGACTGGCCAGGCTGATCTGTCACCAACTTGTGGTCACTGAAGAGCCTGCTAGCACATAGCCCTGCTCCAGACAGTAGGCAGCTACTTTTCTGCTTACATGCAGCAAGACAAGTTATGATGTGTAAAGCACGAGCAGGAATTCTGTGCCAACTACCCAGGAACTAGATCCTCCCAGCACTTGGACAACTGAGCACAGCACTGTTCTCCACATCTAAAGACACGTGGTCCCCTGTGTTGTTCAGGCCAGGCCGATGCTCTCAGGACTCAGGACTGGCTATCCAGTGGTGAGAGCTTTTCCACAGTGGCCCAGCTCCTCACAGGCCACTGCTCTTTGGCTTGCTTCTGGGCAAGGCCCACCCTCCAGGCAAAAGCACTGTGGCACAGCATCCCCCTTCCCTCTGCTCTCTACCATTCTACACCTCACACAGGCACCAGTAGAAATACAGTGCCTGGGTTTTGTGCCAGAAAGCCAGGCCAATTTAATGATGCAAAGTCCTCAGTGAATTTAGCCCACAAATGCAGTAAAGGAGAAAAACTATGGCACTCTCATCAGATGTAGAAAAGCAATTCATAAAATCCGCTTCTTGTGCAGACAAGATGGTAAAGGTTCTAGCTGCCAAACCTGAGAACATAAACTCAGTCCCTGAACCCCATGCGATGAGGGGGAACCAACTCCTAAACAACACCTGGCGTTAGTGTAACATATTTTTAAAAATCCACTTCTGCAAGCCAGGTGGTGATGGCCCATGCCTTTAACCTCAGCCCTAGGGAAGTGGAGGCAGGTGAATCTCTGTGAGTTCCAGGCTGTTACACAGAGAAACCCTGCCTCGAAAAACAAAATGAACAAACAAATGAAATCCACTTCTGCCCATGATTTAGAGAATAACTGCGAACCAGAACAGGGGAACTGTCCTAAATGGGTACTAGAGTGTTAAAATGTACCCACGTGGGGCTCAATGTTAGTGTGCCCCGCTGGGTGAAATTATGGCCCCAAGCAGTATAGGTAGGAAGAAGAAGAAGGAGAAGGAGGAGGAGGAGGAGGAGGAGGAG